CTCTCTCTCTCTCTCTCTCTCTCCCTCTCTCTCCCTCTCTCTTACCTGCATCTCACTCATCGAAATCCTTTGCCTTCCCGCCTTCAAAAACTCCTTCACTGCAGCACTTGTCTGGTATTAGGATAAATTGGTGCTATTACAACAGGTGGACCTGGCCATATTTCGTAATTTTCCCGTCGGATGCGTGGCGGCGCAAGATGCAGCAGATTGCACCCGCTATTTATGACTATGATACACATATCCCGTTGCATCGAGGCACCTCGACGCCGTAAAGCGAACTGATATACCAGTCAGTAGTACCCAGACGTCTTGAGGCTCCGTGAATTATCCTATCACTGTAATTGCATTTGCAGATTCAAATCTTCCAAGGAAATAATGCAATTTACTTCTGACTCAACGTCACAGCGCGCTTGTCGTTGCCCCATTTTGTAAAGTTACTGCAATCATTTAAATTTTATGTGTGCGGTCCTACTACCATTTAACGCAATTACTATAAATTCAATTTCGCAAGAAATAATGCACGATAATAATATTTCATTGATCACCGTCCGTCAATTTAACATTACCTAGACGTTATTACATCGGACACACCGTGTATATTATAACGGTGTGTATTTAGGTCCTCGCGTAACGCGCTCCGTTCTCCGCCGAATGGACTAAAATTGAATTTGGTCGATAGAATTTGGGCAGAGCAGGCAATATTAAATTCCAGGAAACTCTGTTCAGCCGTACACTGAAATACTATAGCGTAATATCTATTCGATACAAATGGATAGAAGCGCAGACAGAAGGCAATGGTTAATAGCATTGTTATATACCACAGAATTCATACCAAGCTACGTTTTTATATTGTGTAAAAGCTTTGAAGCACGTGCCTGAAAACTCTAGTCAATTCATCAATCTGCATGTATATATTTTAATGAAATCAATTATAAAATATTTCAAACGTTATGTCAATAACACAAGTCAAGACTCTTTTTGGAAAAGCCAAAGGCACGTTATATACAAGTCAGATCATAAACCGGTAACAATGTTAACCAGTAATTAGCATAGCCAATCACCGATGAGCTCCTATACCTTTGATAATAGTTGACCCAAGCTCACCCGGGAGCTTCTCACACCGGTCACTATCACGGTATCTATCATTAGCGTCAATTAGTAACACAATGCTCCGTTATTAACAGCACATAAACACCCACATTAATACTGGTCCATATGTCTCAGTACTGTATTGCATAGTACACTAGTATAGTACACTAACTGCAATTCGTACTGTTAGTTCTGAACCAATGACTGTCCTAAACCGCTCATTAGTGTTTCTCTTTTATACCTTGTCCTTTTTCTCTCTCTTAGTGTCAAAGCGTTTTCCCTTCTAACTAGTGAGAAAAACCAACAACACATTTCCCAGCGTAGTCGCGCCTCTGTTTGAGGAGCTTTCGCGAGTTTGATTAAGAGTACCAGCTAAGTGGTGAACTAATTAAGGTGGAATAAAAATATATACCTGTAGCTTATAATTAATGCCAGTTGCACTCTACTGGTTTGAAGCAGCTTGTCGCCTATATAAGCATACGTATAAAGGTGGTCAGTGCTTTTATTTGCTTACGTAAAAGTAGGCTGTCAATTTTTACCTAAAAATCCATATTTCATACGTATAGTAAGTAATACACGTGAATACGACCCTAATACTACCTTAGCACAGATTCCTCGGTGGTCCTAATACCGTTCTTAATGATTTCTAGTAAGCACAGGTATGCGTACAGTGCTTCCTACTCGAATTTCACGTCTTGCATTCAATATTTAATAATTGTGCAGGAAGAGCGAGCGATAAGATATTGAATAATAATAATATTTTTATTGAATTCGTCGACCTCTTTGGAAGCTGATACGGGTGTAATCGTAATCTCAATCCGACTCCTTTGGGTGCGTCTCTTCGTGGAGGACACGCATGTTCCATGGAATGTGGCCTAACGAAGACTCGAGGCTGCGATGCTGTACGTGAACTTGAAACCACGACAACTCAGATTTCCCTAACGAATGAGAAAGAAATTCCGCGCGTATAACGACGCGAGTCTGCGGGCTTAAAGCCATGCCACGTCGACAATATGAAATTAGAGGATACTGCGACGGTGCATGCCGGGTAATTGTACCTGACTTTTACGTTAATATATATTTCAGAAAGAAAAGAGTTCCACTGATGAGAACCGCGGTATGAACAGTACGTAAGAAACGTTAATTACGGCAAGTTGAACACGTGTAATGCGTATACTATATACACGTACTCGGAAGACAGAACAATCTGAGACTCCTGTCTGGCTTAATCGCCACTGTAGCAACTAGTATAGACTCTTGCCGAGAAATTGAATAACGGAGTAATAGGTGGAGATAAAATCTGAAGAGAATAATTACGATACGTGTGTATCACTAATTATTACAAAGATAAATATTTAGTTTCGTATACAAAGCATGTATGATTATTATTAATATTATTTATTGTACATAAATTGCATACGTAATACGGGTGCAACTATTAAATACATTCGTTATTGTTTTATGTTTAATGAGTAAATTTGCTTTGTGTGACGTCACGTATCGTTTCTCAAAATTTATAGTACCGCGATAAGAGATAGAACAAAATTGTAGGGTAGACGTGACGATATCGAGGCTTGAAATGAATTATAATATTTTTTTTTCGTTTTCATACTGATTTTTATCAGTATCCTAATTTGGGTGGGGTCGTTAATTAATTGATCGATAATTCAGTGAGCAGTAGATCGTTCATTATTATTAAAAGGGCAAACAACCAACGACGACACGACTCCCCGTCCTGCCAACCCCAAGCATCCAAACAAATTTCATCAGGCAGAAACTGCGAACGGAACGAACGTTGTATGTTTTTATAAGCCGCACCTTCTGGAAATATTTGCTGATTTGAATGAGTTTCAGGTTCCTTCTACGAGGCCGATAAATGCACTCATGGTAACTGAGACAATTTCAGTTCAATTTATTTATCGCTGCCCGCATCGTCGGGTCTTCTCATTCAAGCGAGAAGCCTTAAGAGACGAGAGTGCACTGTAGGTTTCGGATGATCTTGAATCGAAATTTGAAAAGCCGATTATGAAATCGACACTGATAGTCATTTTTGGAATTATTAACAAGTCTGACAAAAAATGAAATTTCATTAAACATTTTTGATAATTATGCCATTTATTTTGCAGAACTCGGAAATATCGCTCTTCGAAACGAACATACGTTTCATGGGAAGTCTGCTGGCCTGCTACGCTCTCACAGGAGATGTGATGTTCCGCGATAAAGCTGCTCAGCTTGGAGAACGGATGTTACCAGCCTTCCAGACGGAGACCGGAATTCCTCATTCGCTCATCAACCTTCGCACGGGGGTAAGAGCAACTCTGTGTTCCCCGGGGAACAAGTATCCATTATTTCCACTATATCCAGCTATACGCGCCTAAACGTCTGATCCCATCCTATGAGATTTAGGTTATGGTTATGGCGCGAAGAGCAGGCCTGGGAACGCGTCTCTATGACGGTTTCTGAATTTTCTAGAAAACAACACGAACACCCTGAACAGTCAATCTAATTGTCAGCGCCGGGAGAGCTATTGGCCGCGAACGTTTAATTCAAATGATTCTGTCGAGTCACGTTTACTAAACTGTCTTGCGTGATTAATATGCAAATTCTTAATTGCGCGGATAATGAGACCGCAAAGGCTAAACCTGCCGGCTGGTTGGCTGACTGGGTGGTTGAATGCGTCGATCAAGGTAATTTTGCATTGAGCGTCGAGCGTAGCTTTATTATAATCGTAACGCATTCCACACGGCACTTTAATTACGGGACGACATCTGTAAGCCGGATTCACTTTGCTAATGACTTTATAATTCCTATCAGCGATCTTATCGGCAGTGGTATGCACGTCTAATTGCAGGACTCTAACGTGACTGCTGGGAACGTCATAATTTTTCATTAAGAAATCCTTGCTAGTGGATGTGAGAAAACGAAATGGCGCATACGGGAAACTCCACTTATATTGTACGCCTGTATGTACATATAATACAAGGAGGACGTACGCGTGAAAAGCATTATTTGACAAAATTACCTTACTAAAAGTAGAGTCCTGTAACGAATAACGAAGTTTACTCGAGTTCAGAAAAATGCAAATTGTCCGAGTAACCGACACAGCCGTGAACGTCTATTCGCACTCATCCATCTTGCTACGTTGAAATTAACGTTGACAAGTTAATTGGTTGGATTAAATTATAAAACAATCATGCTTATCCTCCTCTATGTTTCCCTTTAGCGTGGATATTACGAGCCTTTAATTTCACTGAATCTCTCTGGCTCTGACCATTCTCTATTTTTTCCCTTTATATACCAAACGCACCGGAGCACCGACTCCAGAACACGACTCCATTTCAAATCCTTTTATTACACTGAGCTGATTCGCATTTGACTCGAAGTAAAACTGCCGAGCTGCGCTTGCGTTAAATAGAATTTCCATGGATTCTCGTTCACCTCATTAAATGTTGCACTCCCGAGTGCAGTCGAGCCGCGTTTAACGCTGAAGGATGCTTCATTTGTAGTTTCCGACCAAAATTCCAACTACACCTCCACTGGAGCAACCCAGTCGCCATCAGCAATTCCACGTTTTACCACTCGACGCAAGTCTTCTAGTGCCTACTGAAATTTCCACCCTTCACCGACTCCCAGAGTCCCTAGTGCATTTGGATATACAGAAAACCAATACTACAAATATGTCCTGTCTCTCGTTTTCAGGCAAGTAAAAACTACATCTGGGCCAGCAGCGGCTGCAGCATCCTCTCGGAGATCGGTACGATGCACCTGGAGTTCACGTACCTCAGTGACATCACAGCTAATCCCGTGTTCAAGAGCAAGGTCGAAAACGTGAGGAAGACCCTGAAGAATCTCGACAAGCCCAAGGGTCTCTACCCGAATTACATCCACCCGAAAACGGGCAAGTGGGGCCATCGTAAGTACGCTATTCGTTTTACGAGATGATCCTGCAGCCACAGCCACCATAGACGAAGGGTGAGCCGCTCTCTAGAAAAGGGTGTCTCTAGGAAAAAGTCCCTTGCCGAAAAAGATTCGATCGAAGGATATTGGCTGAAGCGCTCGTTCGCGCGAAGATCCCAAGGGCTCTGGTAATAATCTCAAGTGAGAAAAAGGCCAAAAGTGCGAATCCTCTCGCGCGGATGACTTTGGATTATAGTAATAACGAGACGAGGCGCAAAATAGTGCGCGCCGTGTAATGCGAGAGGTGGGCAGATAAACGCGTTATACGTGCCAACTAACGCTTCAGCACCGTATAAACGTTCGTCCTTATTACTGTAATTTTATTTAATAAATCTCGTACGAATTCTGCCGAATAGATTTTTAATCCACACCTCCCCTCTCGGAGGGTACGCGGTTATCAATTACGTCATTAAATAGATTTGACGCGGCTACGAGAACGAATACCCGGACCTACGTATCCGTACTTACATACATTGTCCTTACCCTACCCTGTGAAAATGGCCGAAATTTTCAGCATAAGGCCCACTCGTGCAATCCGTGAACGCATTTATCACGTGCTGATCCCCTCCAGCAATAAAAACTCGCCTCCCCCATTCGAGCCCCGCGTCGCAACGATCGTGGGCCACTCCACTTGCGTATTATATCATTCAAGGGATTTAGAAATGTTTCATCGAAAGAGCCAGCGGTGAATTTCATCACGGAGAAAAGAGGTTATAGAATATTTTATTCAGACGCAGCGGCGCCTCTTCCTTTTCAACTACGAACAGACAAATTCTGACGAAATCGTCTCCATGTAAAAATGAGCAAAGCTTCTCAACCGAGAATGTCACTTTCTCGTCTCCAGGAGACTTCCTCGCACCTTTTTCTTGAAGTATCTTTTTATCTCGGTGTCAAGAGTCTTTCTAAGAATTGACGTATACCTTTATACCACTGGTGCTCCTGGCGCTGGAGAGTCCTCGTGACAAGAAATTATGTCGGTATAAAAACGAAGAGTCTCGACCGCTGGCCCCTAGTTACGCGCTACTGAGAATTACCTCCCCGAGGGCTAAGGGACGCGACTGTCTTCCCGCCAGTCCTCTTCTTCGCTGTAATGGCTCTTATTTGAAAGTAGGAGAGGATACGTCGTCGCGTCATTATATAAAGCAGTGTGCAAATTACACCGGCGCTTCTTCTATAGCTTCTTCTTGAGCCTCGAAGCGTCATACGGGACAGGGAATCTGCGAGGCTCCCGTGTACGTTTTTATTTATTCGGTAGCCGAATAAATTAGCAATAACCATTTGCCATAATCTTGGGGCTATTTATCGTTGGGGTAGGTCGAGGGTTGCTTACAACTTTTTTTTTACACCATCTAAGAACGCCTTGGGAACCTAGATGGTTCTGTAGACCTAGGACCTGAATCGTTCTGTGATTGTCTTGTGATTGGATTTACTAATTAAGGTCTTATTGTTTTAGATCACATGTCACTTGGAGGTCTGGGCGACAGTTTCTACGAATATCTGCTTAAGGCTTGGATTCAATCTGGCAAGGAAGACGCTGAGGCCAGGGAAATGTACGATGATGCTGTCAGTGCGATAGTTGAACATATGATCATGAAATCACCTGGTGGACTTCTCTATGCGTCCGATCTTAAGTACGATCGAGTTGAGCACAAGATGGGTCATCTGGCTTGTTTTGCTGGTGAGTCAATTTTTTGCTCTCTGTGAATCTTGGTAGAGCTGTTGAGTATTTTTTTAACATTTTTTTTTTTTTTTTTTTTTCCTTTAGGTGGTATGTTCGCCCTTGGTGCCAAATCTATGGAGAATGAGGTGTCCAATCAATATATGGATATAGCAGCAGGATTAACCAACACATGCCACGAATCTTATGATCGCAGTGACACAAAATTAGGACCCGAAGCTTTCCATTTTATTGAGGGTAACGAAGCGAAGAGCTTGAAGAATGGAGAGAAATACTATATTCTACGACCTGAGGTAAAAACTATAGCCTGAACATTATGACGATGCAAGAAATAACATAATGAAAGTGAACGAGCAGAATGACAGTTGTGCTTTTCTTTCAGACTTTCGAATCGTACTTTATTATGTGGCGACTTACAAAGGATCCCAAGTACAGGGAATGGGGTTGGGAAGCTGTACAGGCACTAGAAAAACACTGCCGCGTCCCGGGTGGATTTACCGGATTGGCCAACGTCTATGCGGTAGACTCGTTGAAGGATGACGTTCAGCAAAGTTACTTCTTTGCAGAAACGCTCAAGGTATGTTATAGGAATTTTTAAATTTCTATAGTCACACCAGAGACGAACTGAGTGAACGTGTAACGCATCGTGTCCTGTACAGAAATTAGAGACTTCAATTAATTTTCATGCATTCTGTATAATACATGCTCGGTTAACTTTTTCGAATAGTTCGTGCTTGTTTTGCTGGTAGGTGAATGAGAGTAAAAGAAGGAGAGGATGAGAGAGAGGCGAAGTAGAAAAAACCCACGTGGGGATTCAATTTACAAAAAAAATATACAGGCTCTTCGAAGCAGGCGGACGAGACGTAGCATTTAGCCACAATCGTCGAGAATTAAAACGTATAAAGTACGGCTCAATTCCTTTTATATCTCTATTTTTCAAAATCTCCCAAAAAGCTTTTCGTTATCCGAGAACCTTTCAAACATGAGCTCACCGTTCAGAGAATTTATAGTAACTCTGATTAATTATGGGATCACATCGATTCGCGTAATGCCAAAATGTCGTCGATTTGTCCCTGTCACTTGGAAGCTACTTCAACCGCAAACAGCACGTTGGCCAAAAAAAATGACAGATCCAAATGGATTCTGAAAGTAGGATCGCTTTGGTCGCAAAAACGTTTTCTTCCATAACCTAGATGAACCATAGTCAAAAAAGTGTATGATAAAAAGAACATAACACTTACTTTTAAGATAAAGACGATATTGTCTAAGAACATTTTTACTTGTATCAAGCTTTGTCGCTAACCATCTTATGTATTTGCAGTATCTCTACCTCCTCTTCAGCGAGGATGACCTCATCAGTCTGGACGAGTGGGTCTTCAACTCCGAGGCGCACGTGCTTCCAATCAGGGGGAATCCGCTGTATCGTCAAGCTCCCACCTTATAAACGTAATACATCTCACTAGGCAACCCATAGCATCAATTTCACGTCATCGACAATATCGACGAAGAAAAAGTCATTGGAAAGCGTGAAACAGAGAAGTCGACGTTCATTTGAAAATGGAGAATATTATGAGGTGTGAACTCTCGACGAGACTCGCCGACACAAGGAGCGTAGTCGTCGTCATCCAGGATGGACTGAGATCTACGTACTGCATCCGAGATTAAAGTAATTAAATAATTGTAGGGTAACGGTCATTATTTAAACCCGAGTTTGTATATAGTAATGAAACTGCAAGAGCGAGTGGTTCGCTCATTGGGAAAGGCACATGTCCCAGAATCCACCGATTCCTGTCTGGTAACCGGAAGATTCGCTACGTTACTTTTTAAATCTAAACCATATAAAGTCCATCAATGACAAAGGACATGATGATGATGAGCAATGGATGTCGCACTAATGTTATTCATAACGCAATGAATTAACTTTCGTGAGTTCCGTGCGAGCGAACGTAACCATTGGAAAATGATCTGTAAGCGAGATTCGATCTCTCTTAAATACACCTTGTCTGGCGCTATGTCTTCCCTGCTTCTCTAGAATCTAAGACTCGCACGGAATTCAGGATAATCTAACACGGCGGTACTTTTATTTTGTTATAAAAATTCGATTAAGTATGGCATTCGAAGAAATACAATATGGGATCCGGATCCATTATCAAAGGACCGCGTTACGGCAAGAAATGTTAATCTAGCCAGAAAAATGGGAATTCGCAAAGCATGTAGAGGTATACCTTCGTCCTATAACGTGATTTAAGTGTGCAAGTTTTTGTATGTGATGCTGGAAAGACAAAAATTATTAATTGATCAGCGAAATAACGCTGTGAATGGGCGGAACGAGTAAATCGATCCGATAGCTATTAAACGACGTAGTAGCCGATAAATAGTGAAGTGTAATGAGAATAGACTTGTATATAAAGAATTGAAGAAAGTCATATTCTATGAGATATAAAGAAATAGTCCAATAGTAGAGCGGTGTAATTGTATAGTGCTTGTCAACGAAAAGCGGATGTAAACTCCGTCAAGGTCCGAGATCAAGTCGGCTCGGTGCTGGATCGAAATGAAGCTCGAAAGGGATCGGAAGAGAATAAAAGTGAGCGAGACTGCGAGATTGAGAGTCATGATGTACGAATACAAAAATACGAATGAGGATATGGCTTAAGGGCAAACGGGAGTGACAATTAATTAATCTATTCGATAAGAGATGTTGCATTAACGCGGTGTCTGTCTAAACAAAAAAAAAAAACTTCCAAACAATCAACACCCATTACGTTCGTTGGCGATATACGGCCAAAAAGTTACTTAAATGCTCTAAGTTTTTTCTGTGTTTCGCTCGCGTGCCAGACAATGGCTCGTTTTTGGAGTATTGCGCTGGTGCAATAACTGTTCTTATCTTTTTTTTCCACCCTTGTCTTAACTACCCCTTTATTAGTACCTCCAAATGAAAATGTGCGAAACTCCATTTAAAAATATGGGAATGGCCTTGTGCCTGAAGAGCCATACCTTTCTTTTCTGTTATTTCCTATAATTACTTTTTATTTTGTTATTTAATTATTATTTTTACGATCTTCACCACTTTATATTCTTCAAAGAGTTTCATGGAGTCGCGCACGTTTCTCTTGAACACGACTGCTGTTTTTTGACGTATCACTTTGGATCCTACTGTAAGCATAACTTTTTAGTACTACGTATATACGAAACTCGACGACCAGATTTGTTCGTTTTTGTAACACAATCTTGTAAACAATCGTCTGTTCAAAAATACTTACACAATACAGTAAGCTCTAGGCCATGTCTATATAATGATACTACTAATGAATGATAATATTAATAAATGATAATATTAGTAACAATACTAGCCTATACATACTTTTGTGAATAGATATTTAATAATTTATTGTTAATTAAACTATTTCTTTTTGACGGTTCAATTAAAAGGGGTTTTGGGTACAATAATCGTTTCTTACGCCTGCGCCAATTTCTACGTTTACACATTTAACCATGCAAGAACTCGATATTAGCTTTACTCATTGTAACCAGAGCGAGACCGATAGAACAAGTAAGAGAAGAAATAACAAGATGGACATCAAGAAAAACAAGAGAAGATGACATTGAAATAAACAATACGACAATGGACTTTTACGAATACGCATGATATTGTAAATACAATTCACTGTAGCGATTGTGGGATTTACTTGAATAATTTTATGTGATCATTACTTTATCACGATCGATTAATTAAATAAATATTGATAATATATTACCTTGTATGAACACTCGATCCTACTATTTCAATGTGTTCCTACCAACGCTTTTACTATGACCACTAATTCATGAGCATTCACATTTTCATTTCTATTATTATAACAATTCAATCAAGATCTTTAATGAAATATTTTCCTAAATAATCAGTACTGCTTTCCAAATCGATCTCAGGTTCCTAACGTTAATACAAAATTGATAATGAATGATTTAATCCCTAATTGGTAAGCGATCAGTTCGAAAACAATACCGATACAATATCCTATTCACAGTCACTCATACGTTTTGTCAGATATTTTGTATCCGTAATGAACAGTACATTGATATCTTTATAATAACGATCAAGCCTACAATAAAAAAATGTATTAAAGATAACTGTGCACGAGTCTTTTAACATATAAAACATATAAAAATATGTTCACGACCATCTTAATCGATTTATTATTTACTCACCAATAGTTCTCAAGTTATAAAGTTTAGTCAGCGCTGATGCAACCAGTAGACAATTAAGATAACTCGGTGAAGCATAAACCTTCGTTCTCATCCACTTACCGGAGGAAACTTTAATGGAGCGATTTAATTAGTGTACTATTAAGTGCACTTTTCGTAATGAAGCTCTCGTGAGTTATCGTCACTAATATAAAGGCGGGGCACCCGTATCGGGCGACTAACTTCATTACCGGCTGTCAATCGGCGATCGAATTAAGGAGTAGTTTAAAATCATCCCACGAGAAACGTCATATCAACAGGGTCAAACGTTGTTTTTTCTAAAAATTCTTAAAGCCGTACAGCTTTGAGAAACAATCAGATCCAAAGATATTTTCATCAAACATGCGAAAGCTAAATGATTTCCAAATGTTTAAGATTAACATGAATTCCTCATTCTTGAAAATCAATTAAATGTAGAAATTGTTTATATTCACGCAACGTACAGGTATTAGAAGAAACTTCTATCGTAATTATCTTCAATTCGCAAAATCCTGAACGAGGCTCATCCCTTTTAATTTCATTTAAACAGACACTGAGGATATTCCAAGCTTCGCTCGGGGATATCTCCAACGCGTTACAAAGCTATGAGAAAACTGCTACATTTTCCTGGAACTACGGACCGTTATAATCTCACGGTCAACGTATTCAGATCAGATCAAGGTCTCTGTACGGTAACAGTTTAACAGAACCGGAAGCTTAATCATTGCCTATTGTCTATTCGTCAACGCTAAACACCCCAGTACCATTATCTAACCCAATCCAGTTGCTGCACCAGAATAACTACCAAAAATATTTTCTACAATAAGTCGTTCATAATATATCATCTTAATAAACCCATTTAAGAATATTTTTCCCATGGGAAAAAAAATGACACAGGCCATAACTTACTCCTTCGACGCTATCTCCTGTCTACTTCCAATGTATATATCGGCCATGTATGCCTAACACTTATGCAACTCACGAAGCTCTGCTCGAATATTTCCAATCTACTTGGTTCATCCAGGAGAAGATCGTTCGGGAAGATATAAAAATACCTTGAATTTTCCTTAGAAACGTTGGCTGCCGCAGAAGTAGTAGAGGAGGCAATGGAGTGAAGGTTAGTGGAGGACAGAAGGCCAGACGGCTGGCTGCCGCATGCTGCTTTCAATTTCCCCTCGGCCGAAGCTCCAAGACCGCGACTACCACGGCAGACACCTCCGCGAGAACGCCAGATATGTCTAGTCGCGCGACGCGAACGTAACATCGTGGCTCGCCCTTCGTCGTGGCGACGTTAATAAACGAAAGAGAACAACAGTGCTCACTGAGAAAAACTACCACGTCGCGTTACTCGGTCATTATTGTCGATAACTATTCTCCGCTAGACGAATTTTATTTACCTCCAAACTTTTTCCGACTTGTTACCGGCATCTTGTCGGTATATGACATAGAAGTATCATCATTGCACACTCTTTGAAATCGGCGGTAGTGCAGTGCTCTAAGAATACAAGGGCTAATGCTTATAATCGTAACGTACGTACCATTATTAAAGGTGTTGTGTATTACGAATCTGCTATTACTGGCATATCTCTACATTGGAGGAGGCAGGAATAAGGAAAGGAAGGAAGAAATCTGCTATTAACTCTTACGTTTTTACGTCGATTCCTTCATCCACGCATTTGACTTTATTTTTGGAAGCACGCCGGATTCTCACCGACTCAAAATGACAGCGCTTTGGCTTCTAGTAACAACTTGTCTTATGGGTGAGTCTTGACAACGGAAACGTTTTCCGTAAGTGGTGCCAGGACACGACAATTATTTAAAATAAATCAATTGACCGCATTTTCATTGATAAGAGTTCTGTAAAATGTTTTTGATGCTTGAAGAAAGCGCGGAATATTAGTTTTCGTAGGAGCAATAACAGCCAATAACATTGTAGCGTTATATAAGAAATAATCTTTCAAGAATATACATTTTTCGTCGATCACTTACCTACTTTTATAGATTATAAATTAAATAATTCTGAATTCTATGGCAAAATTTGAAGGCCGCTCACCGCTCAAACGTTATTGTATATGGACTCAAAGGTTACAGCGATTGAATTTCGACTTTGGATGAGAAACTAACATATTTAAAGTGAACTTTTAAGCAACAAATGGTATAACCGATTCGTGAATTCTTCAGGATTCGATACATACCAATAAAAAAGTGACCTTACCGGGTATTTCAAAGACTAATTGCAAATTAAATGAAGCTAAAATCTCCGAATCGTTAGATGCTGTCATCAGCTATTGCGAACAGTTGAAACTTGGCAACACCGCATGAAATGAAAAATATATAATGAGACACTCGGGCACGGACGGTAACGCCACAAACATATACGGATAAATGATTGAAAGAAATTTTTCGCTAATTATTATAGATACGTGTAAGCAGCTCAGTATTTCATCAGTACTCGAGCACCATATGATTAAATGTAGCCGGAACATATACATATATGTACATATAACCTAGCATGTCCTATCCGGATTCTGGTTACAGTTAATAATTCGGGTGTTTATACTTACCATTGGGACGGAAATTTGTGTAGTTTTATTATTGTTTCCATTGTAGATATTTGTAATTTCTCAGATTCCTTATTAAAAAGTTTTTGGCTGATATGTTATTAATACAAAAATATGTGAAATATATACACATAAATATTTACATTAACTAGTAAAGTAAAGATGCGAACCAGTACCGATAAGAAGACATAATGTTTTACGGTATTCACACATATATTTTGGACACGAAACCTTTCGGACACTTTTTCTAAATTATGGTATTCTATGGATTTTACTGTATCCTATAAACATTACACGTTCCTCTTGTAGAAAAAGTATCCGAAACATTTCGTGAATGCCAATCGTAACATTTATAATTAATTAAATGCAAATACAAATCCTTTGCAATACAACAAGTTCAGTAAAAACCCCCGCACTAGAATTATTATTTCCCTTGCAGAGAAGTGCAAGCTGTCCGACAATACCTTTTATCGCATTCTCGTTTTTTGTTACACGAGGGTGGCCGCCAACATCTTCGGCGAGTAATACTTTCACTGTTGGACCTCCACCTTCTCTGAAAGCCCGCTCTAGGATAGCCATCGTTATACCTACTTTGGCTATCTTCGACCGCATGCCAGGCGATACACCGTTTTTCAAAACTTCGAGAGTCCCTCGATTCCTCGCATGCGTAGAGACTGAGCCTTGCTCTTTTATTATTTGGCTAACGTTCTTATCTGGTTTTTATCTGCTCGATTGTTAACCCGATGAGCCCGACTATTTTTGTCAAGCAGTTACATCTTGTACAGCGATTAGCTGATGGCTCTAAATAATCATTAGCGAGGACTTCTTGAGAAAATAATTTCTTGTCCCTCTTTCGGTCGGGTAGAAGTTCGCGGAAAAGCGGCAGGGTGTCGGCGAAACCCCGTACGATCCGATTGAACTCAAAAAGAAGTCCGAACTCTCGAACAGCATGCAAGAGAATCGGAACATCAAATCTAAAAAAATACCTAAACCACAACATTTTTCTAAGAATTTTCTCCAAAACAACAAACTGAGTAAACTCATGTATCCGTAACCTAAAACCATTGTGAGCGACCAGAATTACACCTTTGTTCTCGCATCAATCAGGTATTTCAAAAAATTAACGAGCGCTGTTCGCGGCAGTACTGTATCTACTCGACTCCCGTTGAGATATAATTCCCCTTGTATTACATTTAAACTGGTGACGACACTTGCACTAGGAGTAATTCCTCGGATCGGTAGTATATAAGGGTTTATAAGGGTATACTCTGGTTTCCGTGAACAGCAGTAATCTAAGTTCAAAAATTTATTTAATTCTTTATAAAACTACTTATATTTAATAAAGTAGTCTATATGACTTTTCAATTGACATATCTCGGCCGAATTTGAAAGACCGGTTGTCTCTAACAAGGAAACATTCCCAAGTGACCCACCCCGATTTTCATCATTTTAGTATACGTGGTACACCTCGAAAATCTAAGGGATACAGTAAGTACAGGGAGAGTTGTAAAATGGCATGCATAAGGAAGATAGCTCGCTCGCAAGACCCACCTTCGAGATATGTGTCTGTAAAGTCAAAATTCGGTCCACAATGACCCATGGTGACAGCCGAGGGCTAATACCGGCTCAAGAGTAAAATAAATACATTGTACGGTCCCCATTGCTCTCCTTCGATCAATAGATACTGTATACTTTTTACCAATTCAGATATAAGAAAACAATCGAGGCCGTTCTTTGTACTAGGATTGATTGATCGAGAAAATACAAAAGTTTTGCCTACCCTGATTCGAAATACGTATTTCATGTAATGAATCGCCGTTACCAACGTGATATCATTAAAGTGATTTATTTGCCGTAAATGGTAACCCTCAAGGGCTTCCCGTTTACTCTGTGAATTCATACAATTCGTTTGGCCTTGCCGTTAATGTCCGACATTTCGTACGCCGTTAGGCGCGTTACGTTAGGTGTCTGTCTGACCGAAACGTCCACGATACTTACACGTTAAAGCCTATTTGCTACGGATTACCTTTCCTGCAGGTAACCATGAACCGTAGTGCCGTTTGTATATAAAATAAGACCCGTCACTCATTTGCATTTCGACACCTTCATACGATTTTTGTTCGCATCCTTTGCGAATCGAAATATATAAATATACATTAAACATTGGAAAAAAAATTTCAAGAATTTATTTGACATTTCAACTGCACCGGTAATCCCAGTGCTCGAGCGCCTCTGTCAAATATTGTCCTGAATTTTAAGGCGCGCCCGAACGATCAAAGGGATACGTCGTTGACACCGATGGAAACGGTAGCTCTGGCACGTTTTCATGCGAAAATCAGTAGTCCGTCCCTTCAGCCGCTGACTTCTTTGACAATCGTTTTCAAATTTTATCTAAAATTGTATTACCTACGGATACTGACGCGTACCTAATTAATGGAACTATATAAAGCCTGTGCTACAATTTATAATCAGAATCGCGCGCTCATAAACGAACTGACTAAATGAACCTAAGCAGTGCCTTAGTGAAACTCTGTACCGGGTGAATATAATGTAACGATATACGAAATTCGAAATAGCTTATCTTCACGAGGTTGGTAACAAAGCTGCGGTTTTCGAGAAACAGTGAGGCTATAGGGGCGCCGTAAATCTTTTGTATATACACTCGTAAGCTTACCTCGTAATTCCGTCACGCAAATAGGACGCGCCTTAATCAACAGGTGACGGTGACAGGTCCGATTTAAACCCACGTGATTAAACGGTACGAATTAATATTTCCTCTGCTATATTCTGAACATCCTTTGTCATACCCTGTACCATAATCTCCCCTGTATTCCCTTGTCGCCATTCAATTACACACATAAACCCACTATCATCTTTCAACTTGTCAACATCCGTTTTGATGCTATCACGTTGGGGGCTTCCTGCGTTGAGCCTCTAAGGATTCTTCTCGTTCATTATTCCTTCGATAGACAAACTCATTGCTCTACGAATCCCTGATGAATTATGCAGTCGGGTGATGATTTCATCGGCGAGAATCAATTTTACTTTCAGGTTGACCATGGCCGAGGCTCATTACCGAGTTAAGTTCAATGTCATATTCTCCACTACTGTGATGGACTCATGTTGCAGCTCTCTCCCCTTCAAGAGTCAACCCATCATATTCATCATTGGTTAACACTTTTCAAACACGGTATTTCGGCTGCTCGTAGTATCAAGCGGTTACTAAATTTTGACAGCTATAAAATATCTGCATCGTACAAGGCAGAATTTTCATCTTGAAAAATTTATTCCATCTCGACGAGTAAAATCTCTCTTGGTCAAAGGCATTTCGGCTGAGCGTATCAGTTATAGCGAATTCTAGATAGAACGCCAGGGAATTGGATGAATGGAGCAACGAAAAAGATTGTAGACTCAGCAAAAATTCCTATAATGGAATCCTCAAGCCGATTCTCCCCGGCAGGGATGGACCGCTGGAGCTTGAAACATGATGGAAACTAGAAATTTTATTGGTTGACTTGTTCGCTAAAATTTTTTATTCTTCGACGATGAACAGATTGCGATTTAGATATCCATCGATCGGTATATGGATATGGAATATCAAGCAGTAGCATTCGTATTATGTGCAGCTACAGCAAGATCGGTCAGTGCAGTTGATGAGGTCGTGGATACTTATTCTTAAGATATAACTTATAATTATACGTGATGATAAATTTAGTGGACGTTCTGATTCACCGTAGCTGAAAGTTCTTGAGTCATTTTAACATTTGTGTATCGTTCAGGTTCGCTAGTAAAATTACGCAAAGTCTAATCTTGTCCCGGGAGGAAGAGAACCAAGAATTGATTCTTAGTTGGAACTTGCCGAGCAGTGTCCCATTTCGAGAAATTTTTCTAACGGCCTAATTCTTTGTAACATTTTGCTGATCTGTATTGTGCATATATATTTCAAGTGATTGCGTAATAAGAGCATCCAGATCGGGACGGATGCTTATCTTCTATCTAATTATAGTGACGTTTAGGGACGTCATATTTATTTATTTTAATTTCTACGACCCTAGGAATTTAGACTGTCCGCCTTCCGTCCTATGTCATATACACCTATGTGCACAGCTGGAAGCGCTAGTCTCTCGCTACGCCTACGCGACCTTATATCAAACAGCCAATCGATTTATCTGGAAGCGTCCAAGTCATTAAGCATCCCA